CTGCATCCTCATTCATCGTATCACCTTATTCCTCTCCAAAACACTTCTTTATTTATTTCGTCACATCCTTTTTGTGAAGCATAGGCATTTTCTACATATATCAAATACTTAAGTTTGATTATTTAGTTACATATAAATAATTAATAAATATATTGATATTTTAATTGAAAGACATGTAAAAATCAGAATGTATTATATTCAGTATATGAATATAAATAATTATTTAAACAACAAAAGTTGCATAGAAATTATTACTAAGACATCTAATTAAATGATTATTTACAATAAAAATACAAAAGAATAGTGATTTTAACGAAATCTTGAGTTTTATTCTTAAATTTACTGTTAATATTAATTATATAAATTCCTGATCACATATTAATTTAAGAAATAGAATATTTTTTTCCTCTTCAAATTTTCTAACAAATGATATAAATTCTTAACTTGTAAGTTAAGTTAAAATTGAGTCTAAATGTTCAAGATTTTAAACTTTCATGAAAATCAATAATAATGAATCAAAAAATAAGTTAAAATTGTCATTTTTAAAAATTGAAGCTGTGCGTGAATTATTTTTAGCATATTAATTTTAACTTGTTAAAAAAATTGTATTTCTAATAAGTAATATTTTCAAAAAATAAAATAATAGAAATAATCTAATTTCAAACTTGAAATCAACATAAAAATTTGTTTAATAAAGTATATATTGGTCTATAATCATTAAAAAATATTTAATTATACTGATATGATTTTACTGTATAATTTAGTATAAAAGCTAGTTTTATAATCCTATTAATTTGGATTAAATTTAAAAAGTTGGAAGACGATCCAAATTTCAATTTTTTTTTCACATATAAAATTATATTAAATAAGCTCTAATTTAATAAATAAATATATATATAATTGTTAGTATTTCCGGAAAACTTTCAACAAATGCTGAAAACGTACATTTTTTTTGGAAAAAATATAATTTTAAATCCACTCCTGTAAGAAGGTGGAGTGTCAGATTTTCAAAAAAAAAATCAAATGATTTTTCAAATCAACCTAATGTATCTATGAAAAAAAAATATTTCTAGTCATTCAATTTTCAAAAGAGTTATGGCAGTCTTAAATAAAAATAGTTGAAAAAATATCGAAAATTACTGATATTTAAAGTTATAATTTTTTAGGGGATTTCCCACATTTACGGGGAACCAAGGAATTTTTTTAAATTTTTGAATGTCATGTCTTCGACTAGATACGATATGTGATCTTTCGATGTATTGTTCATCAAAATTCGTCCAATGAGAGTTGAGAATAAGTGTTAACAGACACACAAAAAAAGTAAATGTGTCTGTCTTTAATTCATCATTTATTTACATAGATAAAAATAAAATAAAATATATATACTTTTTAAAGATTTATTACATGTTACTCATAGTTATTTTTATAATATTGCGAATATGCATTTTTTAATTCTCAAATTACTTCATAAATAAAATTGTATTGATTAATTTTTTGCATATAGGTGTTAGGAATTTTCTTTTTTATCTTAAAATATGTTACATTAGTTTTAATTGAACATATAATTAAAGCTTGTAGATTTCCAGAATATTTTTAAAACATAAGTTGAAAAGTTTTTCACTCTTGAACTTTTAATTAAAAAGTTGCTATTTTGAACATTTCTTTATGAACAGGTAAAAGATCAGATTTTAAAAAAATTTAAATAAAAGAAAATACCTGAAGTATCTATAAAATAATTTGATTTATTTATTTTTTAAGTTATTATGACAGCTTAAAGTCAAAAAACGTATGAATATGTAAAATTTTTTTATTTTAATCTTATTAATTTTTTTATGGGTAGTGGAAATATTAAGTATCAAATTTGTTAAAACTAATATATCAATTAATTTTTGAATTCTGTCGTCTGATAGTCAGCGCTTCTAGTAGTCTAATAAACACGTATGTATTTTACAATCCTGCAATATGTGGAATTTTCATACTTAAATGAATCTCCCTTAACCTGTTATTTGATAAACATTATTATAACATAAAAATGTCATATATCAACTTTACTGTGACTGCGCCATTACAAAATTTAAATGACGACTATACCTTCGAAAGGGTTGAGATAATTATACAGTGAATACATACAGTAATTTGTTATTTTATTGTATATTATAAAACTAGTATTCCATAATATTTTAATACAAAAATAATTTTAAGTACTAATTAAAAAAATTCACCCAGTACATTGGGGACGAAGCATTTTTGAGACAAGCTAAGATAATATCTAACTATGATAAACATTACTATCATAATAAAACGCTTTGAAGGAATTCTGTAAAACTATTTTGAACAGGTTAATTTTAAAAAATGTTGAACTACAATATTAAAAATCAAAAGCATTAAATTTGCACAAATGAACGCTTAGAGTTTTTATGGACTAATATACAATAAACATGCGCAAATACATTTTTAGCCTCTCATCGAAGTTAAAATAATAAAATTGTAATTTGTTGAAAAAATTACCATTTACATTTATGTAAAGTTATTCCTAGAAAATCTTAATTTTTGACAGAGCTAAAAATACCAATTTCAGTGTTCATATTTAATTTTTAGTAAATAGATCAAATAATAATGTTAGTTGAACATTTAAGTAAATATGTTGTATGATGAATGCCTATAGTTAAAGAAAAGTTATTTCTTTCCAATGACAAATTAATCAAATATGGTAAAAAAATTTTATAAAATAAAATCTTATCATTCACATTTCAACAGTTTAATTTTCTTCAAGATAAAATCATTAGGGAATCATCTTATCATAAATAAGTAGAAAATGAACAACTCTTTACTTTTCATATTAATGATGTCCTTAAAAGTAAGCTTAAGTGATTACGCAAACTATTTATTGTGTTCCCATACTCGTTATTTTCTAAACTTTTTTAAACACAACGAAAGATTTTTGTTAGAAATCGAAAAAAATAAAGATTATATCACAATCGAAAATCTTATGAACTATGGTAAGGCACTGCAAACACACAGTAAAGTAATTATGGTATTATTGGATGATGTGATGTACAGAAAAACATATAGCTTTCCTTTTACTTTAATCACGCTAAATATGTACTTAAATAATGTTTCTGATTCTATAAATATAATTGCTCAAAATAATGAAGATGACAAAAATGATGCTAACAAATTATTAAAAGGCTATACGATTATACATCTCGCAATTAAAGAACAACTAACAAATTACATAAATGGAAATTGTACAGAAATATCATTCATTGATCATATGGTTGAATGCAATCCTCCAATGGTTAAAAACAAATATGATATTACTTATCTATTGAATATAAATAATAATCTTACGGAAAAAATATTGTCAAAGTTTAAATTAACATTAAGAAGGAATTCATACGAAAGTTTACATCCAAAAAATATTTTGTTTTACGATATAATGACCTTGCAGATTCTCACCAACAAGAATAATAGTATAAAAATAGATAATAGTCAACGCATAGAATTAAATCTACTTCGATTCACTCCACTTAACGTTAAATGTTCTAATGGTACTCGTATAACTATACAAGACGTATTTCAGTATATGAAATATGATTTTAATTCTAAGGATGTTTTTCAATACATAAAGATGGTAATTGTTGCTACGTTTCGACCAATAGCTATTCTTATTCGCAACTATTTAACCTTAATCCATGTTGCATCTTCAAAAAATTCAGATAGTGTAAAATTTTGGATAAAACCAACACTAATTGAAATTGGTCGAAAAATAATTAATCATATAGAAAAATACATTTCTCTCCGGTTGTTCAACAATAAAGATACATTTTTATATAACGTCTTATATAATTTTACTAATATCTTAGACGAATTTACTATAAACAATTATCTTCTAGAATCAAGTCATAAAATTAACAATTTTTTAATGAATAAACTTTTGAAAATTTTCATGGAAAATAATTTATACTTTACAACTGATATATATCTAACCAATAAAAATATTAATGAAAATAATGCTGATGAAATTAAAAATCAAATAGAAAAAATCATTAATAAAGTTAATATTTATTTGAACGATATGGAAAAATGGAACAAATGGTTTTATAATATTGTAAACAGTTTTAAGATACGATCTCTAAATATTTCAGTTTTTAAACATTTCATTAGTTTTAAAGTTTTAGGCAAGTCATAATGTATCTCTTGATCATTACTTAATATTATTTATGTACAATATTATCTGTGATTTAACAAAAAATAGCTGATCACTTGTGTAATCCTCGGGTTTAAAATACGAAGTACAAAAAATAATTAAACAATAAGGTTATTGAAATAAAGAGGTTTGCAACTTGAAAATATTAATTTCAAAATTCAAATTGTGCAAAACAATTTAAATAAATTTTATTAATTATTTTTTGTAAAGGATTCATATTTTTAATAATTTTAAAACTTATTAGGATATTCTTTAACTCTTATTTTTTTCTCATTAACATAACTATTTAAATATCACAATTGCCTGATGTATGATGAGAATAGTGTTTAATATAAGGTTTAAATTACATATTTCTCTTTTTATTAATTTTAATGGTTTAAATATAGAGAATAAAAAATGTTTATGTATTTTTTTTTTAGAACAATCTTTTACTTAAAAATATCTTATTAATGTGGAGTGTGTATATTTTTATCATTAAAGTACATTAAGATAAAACATGCAAATGTTGTTTGAGTTTAATTTTCAACATCTGAAATAATGGGCTGACTTTGATCTTAATTTTTTCTAATAATTTTTAAATTAAATTTTGCAATAAATTTTAATTTAATTAAGTTTAACTACATAATTTTCTCATTTTCGCTGTTGATTGATACTTAAAACTAACAAATTTTAAAGAATAATTATTAACAGATGAAATTTTTTTTAGAAATCTCTATCATTTTGATTATTTATTTATTACAATTATTTGTGATTTGAAGATATCTTTTAATATTTATTTTATTTATTTTAGACCGTATTTGTAATACTGAATCACATTCCGAAATATACAATGCTAGTATGAATGATAATAACAAAATTGATATAGGATATTATGAAGACAAAAAGGACGTGAATGATGGTAATATCGAGTTTAACTTAGAGAATCTAAAAGATAAAGATGATGAAAATAATATCGATGCAAATGACTCCTTTGAACATCAATCAAATTATAAACCTCTTTATATGATTGATTATTGGCCATACAATTTGTAAATTGATATGATTAAAATTTTTTTTAATTTAAGTGTTTCTTTGAACGTTAGCTAATTAATATTTCTTATAATAATAATCCTTTAAAACAATTATTTTTATATTTTTTAAATTTAAATATTCTCGTTTAATAATTTATGAATTTTTCTTTAATTTATTCATGATAAGGGTATTAACTTAATTGTTTAAATGTCAACTTTCAAACTTATCTAGTTTATAAAATAAATAAAAATTATCTAAATATCTAAGAAAAATACTAGGGAATAACTTCTGACCCATTATTTCGAAAGTTATTACCATTTCATAATAAAGTTTGGAAGTGAAGCGCAAGAACGACAATATTTATCAATACACTTTTTTTGTCCACACCTCCCTTCACCCCTTGGTAAAAAAATTGTAATGGCAATCAAAGTACTGCTACAAGAGTTGTTTTCGACCAGCAATTTTCTTAATTTGATTATATTTTTAGATAATATAAGGTAATTAAATATGTATGATGCAATTTAAATATACAAAGTTGTCATCCTTATAATGTTTAAGGTTGAATTTAAAATACAATTAATAATTGATAAATTAAGAATTTATGAAACTAAAAAATACCAAATATATATTATTCTAATTCTTTTTTCTCTCCTTTATCCCTAACTACTTAAAGTCATCCACCATTATCATAATTTCCACTTGACACGATCATCCACATCATCTACACACACATCAACCATACTCATATCGTATTTAAAACATCCCTCCATCACTTTTTTGGTCTTTCTATAATACTTCTTCCTTCAATATTCATTTCCATAACTGTTATTACAGCTTCCGCTTCCTCTCTCCTCAAAACATGATCAAACCATCTAAGCCTATTTTCTTTTATTTAATCCACAATTGACACTACAACGATGCTCCTTCTTAAATGTTCGTTTCTTAAAATCTTCTCTAGCCATTCCACTAAACCATCTAAAAATTCAAATTAAGAAAATAGTTATTTCGAAAATTATTACCATTCTAATATAATATAGATTGGGTTGACTATTTTAATCATTAAACATTTTTCTCAGCACTCTTTCTCCCACCTTAGTATAAAAATGTTGATAACTTTTAAATTACCAAACCATAAGTTATAATAATTTAATTAATAGCATTTTTATAATTAAATTTTAAAAAAGGTAATTTTAAAAATGTACGCAAAGCGTTTAAAAAAATTTTAAAATAGCCATTTTTTAGAATAGATTTTAAAGAATAAATTGGTGAAAAAAATTCTCATTAATATTTGGTAGTTAATTTTCTGTAACATTTTAAACTTCGTAAAAATTTGAATTTTTTGTATTTGTTCTACGATATCGAACGCTGGCTATGTTATATAAAAAAGGATAGAAGTAAACACCATCTTTTCACACTAAATAGGAGTATGGAGTTCTCCATGAAAATTATTAACATTCCAATGACTGGCTATAGTTCAAATAAAAACACAAACAGCACCTATTATTTAATAAGTAGTTTTATTTCTTTAGAGATAAAACTACTTATCTTACTTTTCTTTTGTCCTTGTCTCAACACTTATTTTAATGTTTAATAACGTAAAATAACACATGAAAATAAAAATTTTTACAAACTTTAAAATGATACACACTATTAATACTAAATATTAATAATTTTTTTTTTTACCAACATTTTTTCTTAAAATCCTTAAAATAGATATTTTGGATTTTTTTTTAAATTTCATTTAAAATTTAAAAATTATTAATATTTTTAATAAAATGTAAAAATATAAATTATTGAGATATAATTATAAACCTTACGCATAACTGTTATTTAAAAAAACGGTGGGGTCGTAGCACAGTGTGAACATGTCATAATTGGGACAAGTATAGATGATTAAAATCATTATCATAAGAGATGCTTCGATACAAATCTGTAGATAGTGTTTAGTTTTAAGAAATTTATGGATTATTCAAAAGTTAAATTCTAACTCAAAAATAATTAAAGAAAAATTGCAAAAAAATCACTGCCACAGGCAATGATTTTTAGTGAATCAGCAAACGTTCGACGCATTCGTTTTTTGATAAAATTGGCAATTTAAGCTGATTCAAATGTTAAAATTAATTTTTTCGACTTAAAAAAAAAATTGAAATAAGTTCAACTTTATATTCTATGTTAATTAGTTTTATATAATATTCATGAAAATCAGTGTTCCCCCTTATAAGGTATTTTAAAATAAATTAAAATACAATACTACGAATTTGAACACAAAAATAGCATATTTTTTAACTACAGCAACTATTTTCACATAGAAAATAAGTCGTTGAGAGACATTTTTTTTAGCTTATAGTACATAATATTAGCTTAATTTTAGCATATGTATTTCCGGAACATTTTCAAAACTGAAGTTGAAAAATTTTAATTTTTGTGCAGAAGTTGCTACTTTGAATCCCTCTCTGTGTGTAGGTAAAGAGACAGATTATCAAAAAATTTAGATAAAATGAAAGAAAAATTTCTAACGTTTTAATATAAAAAATAATTATTTTGATTTGTTCATTTTTCATTAAGTTATGGCAATTTTAAAAAAAAAAAATGAAAAAAATGTCGAAATTTACTGATTCTAAAAATCGTAATTTTTTGGGGGATTTTCACTATTTACGGGGAATAAGTGCAAAATTTTTAATTTTTTAGGGTAATGTCTTCATCTAGATACAATTTGTGATCTTTTGACGTATCGTTGAGAAAAATCGGTCCAGTGAGAGCTGAGAAAAAGAAGTGTCAGACACAAAAAAGTAAAAATAAAAAAAAAAATAAACACATCATAGTAAAATTAATATCTTCTCAGCTTCGTATCGAAGCTAAAGTGTTTGATGACTAAAAAAAATGGTGTAGTTCCCTTTAGACCAGACGGGCAAAGTCTGAAAAAGTGAAACATTTAAGAAGTTACTTAAAATGGTATAAATAATGTGACCAATAACTTAATATATTTTTAAATTTTTAATGTTTTTAAGAATTGTTGATTAAAATAAATTATTGCCATAAAAAGTTGAATAATACAAAAATTAATAATCTTATAGCTTTATATTAATTTTTTTTATTATTATTACAAATTATAAAAGTCGAAATTAAAAAGTATAAATTAGATATAAGGTATTTTATAAAAAACATAAATAATTTTGTTTCATACATTTCTCAAAATAAAATTACAAATTTAACTTTTTTTTTCAAAATTTTTACTTTATTTTTATAAATTAAAATAAAATATATAATTTTAAGATAGTATAACAACGCGCAATCATTTTTTTTTAAATTAACGCAACTTATACAGAATATTAAAAGTTATTAGATTTGTTAAAATATCGTGGACCCCTTCTATATAATCAAATATATTTTTTAACAATTAATTGTTTAAATAAAAAAATATATTATGTAAAGACAATCGTTATTTATTCATATTTTCAAGAATATCGTATATTTTAGCTTATGCATTAATTATAAAAGAGGTATAAATTTTTATGATTAATTAAGAATTTTTTTTCTATTTATAATATACATAAATATCAGCCAAACAGCATAAAAAAAAAAATTAAACTTAATTGAGACATACTAGAAATATACCATATAATGAAACTATTCTGATAAACTAATCATAATATTTGATAAAAAATTAAATTATATAATATCAAATAAACTTTTGGTTATTCTTGTATCACTAGTACAACTGATAGAACGATTAAAAGTCTCTCTAAAAGTAAGTTAATAAATATTAAATAGATTTGTTATCATTGGATTTATTATAAATAAAAAATATGATATATTCATGAGAGTTTTTCATGATATCTTCTCTTCATACGTTATAATTTTATAATTTTAACTTTCATGTATTTAGTTTAAAATAAGGTAAAAATGTTAGTGAAATCCTTTGCTATGTATAAGTGAGCCACATATTTAAAAACGTCCTTAGCCCAAAATAAAACTAGAAGAAAACAGTTAAAAATCTGTTTTTAAGCTACCATTGGCGTGTTCCGTTGAAACCGAGGAAAGAAACACAGTGATGATATACACCGAGTTAATATGAAAAAAAATATTTTAATAACCTAAATTTAACTTAAGGAGACGCGTTAGAAATCTCTGATCTTGTATCATTTCCACAATACGTATTTTTACAATATAATTCTTTTTTGTATTCATAAAAAAAATCATGTGTATAATTGAATAATATTTTAATTAGAAAGAAAAACAAGAAAGAAAAAACATAAATATTTTTATGAGTTGAGTTCTTATAAAAGACAATTATTATAATAGTCTAAAATTATTCTTGTTTTATATTAACATGACATTTTAAATAGTTTTGCAGCTAAATTTTGTACAAAATATTTTTATCGAGTGTTTAAATTACTAGACATAAAAATTAAAATATATTACAAAAGCTGTTTTCATTATAAAAATAATTTGAACAATTTCAACGTCGTCCAAACACCATATTAAGTAAATTTAAAGATATTTAAAAATACATTTAGTAAAGCAAATTACAAACATATATATTTACATCAAATATAAGGACAAAATTATTAAATGTTTAATCGTCAATGCAAAATAGTTCTTCATAATTACAGGCCCTAATTTACTAATTCGTTGACCCAGCACAATGTAAAATTGTGGCCTAATGAAATCAATAACATATTAAAATGTAAAATCTCAATTTTTATAAGGCAATGTCACACAGAAATTTACCGACTTACTGCTCGTCACATAAATGTATACAGTTATTATTATTATTATTATAACAAAAAAAAAAAGTTACTTAAGTTGTAACTAAATTGTCAACTATAATTATTTAAATATTATAATTTCATTAGAATTGTATAACCGTCCTTAATCCACAAAGATCAGGCCCTGGTGTTTTATATGTATTCAAAATAAAATAATGAATTGAAAAAAATACTTCAATAAATAAAAACAATATTTGATTTTATTTAGTAATAGTACTTTTATAAAAATAAATAACAATTTTTATAAAAGTATTGTCAATCGTTTTCTAGTTTTTTGTTCTAAAAACTTATCAATATTGACGTCACTACTTATATTTGTTGTAACATTTATTTTTATTATA